CGGGCTGTTCACCTACACGTACTCCCTGACAGCAGGCTCCGCGCTCTGCAGGTCCCAGCCGCAGAACTGGACCTCCATCATGCAGAACGCCAGCAAGGAGCGGCCCTTTGCCTGGGACCGAGAGGTAGCAGTCACTCTTCCGTTATTTCCCCAACAGGCCACCAGTCCGGGTGGTGACAACAGATTGCACCCAGTTGGGGGGTATCTCAGTCCGCCTGGCCTGCTGTCACAGGACACCGGAGGCTGGGGGCTTGTAAACAACAGACACTTATTTCTCACCGTCCTGGAGGCTTGAAGTCCAAGACCAAGGTACTGGCTGATTGAGGGCTGGTAAGAGTCTGCCTCCTGGTTCATGAAGGATTATCTTCCCGCTGTGTCCTCACATGGCTGAAGGGGTGAGGGGCCGCTCTAGAGTCCCTTTCCAAAGGGCACATCTTTATGATCGAATCTCCTCCCCTTAAGGGTTAGGTTCCAACTCATGAATTTCAGGGGCATGCCAACATTCATTCCCCAGCAAGGGTGTCAGGGGATGGGAACACACTGACATCTCGAGCCTGGGAGCCACATCTGGGAATGTAAGATGTGTAAATTATTTGGGAATATCCTGCAAGGGCACTGGCCAAACGTTCAGAGCTGTAGTCATTGCTGATAATTTTCTAGAACAATCGAAATGCCCATTACTAAGGGACTGATTAAATTCACAATCTATTCTGCTGAGTGAGCATTTTTACCATGAGCATTGATTTGTATGCGACCGAAACATAATGGCATGATGTCAGTAAGAGGGAGAAATTGCATCAGTGGTCCTGGGAGCTCTGATGCACACAGATAGTTTCCATCCATCCACTGAGCCCCTTAACTCTGAAGGCACGAACATGGCGCAATGCAGCAATGCTACCAGCAGGGGACGCTCACCCTGTACCTGAGCCCATTCCAGCATAAGGGTTCTTGGCTCTTTTTTACACCCTCTTCAATCGTGTCAGTTTGATCGTCTATTTTGTTGATGACACTGGTTTTTGTCTTTTTTTTTTAACAAATGTGGAATTCACATAACACAATTAGCTATTTTAAAGTGTACAACTCATGTCCATGCCTCATGCATTCACAAAGTGATACAAGCCCCGGGAAGGAAGAGGGAGGGTGGAGCTTAAGCCACATCCACAGCCTCCGCCCAGCGAGCACAAGGCCCTGACCCAAACCTTGGGTGTTTGGTGAACGGGTGGGGCCGAGCTCAGGACGGAGGCTATCTGTGGGCGCTGGCGTGGCTTTCCCAGCCACCGGGCCAGTGGGCATACCCCTGTCCTCCTCAGAACTATGTGAGCTGCCACGACCCCAGCAACGACGCTCCCCTGGAATGGCCAGAGGTCCCCTATCAGATCTTGGGGGGCCGAACAGCAAACAAGGTTATTTTCAACCAAAGGAATGGAATTTACGTCTTCTTCATTTCTGTCGTGGATCCATACTACAGGTGAGTGGGGTTAGGGGAACCGCCCTGTGCCCAGGTCTCTGGGGGTGGCTGGCTCTCCTGGCGCATGTTGCACACACATGGGGGACCCACTTCCCCCCCTCACCTGGGCCCACCTTGCATAAGCCAAGATTTGCTGAACAGCACAGACAGTCCCCTGGGAAAAGAGATTTTAAGTCACAGATGACATCTGCTCACTCGCTAAGTAAATCCTCTTCAGACCCATGTTAGGCACTGGGGGAGCAGTGGTGACCAGCAGCCACAAGCCTGCCCCGGGGGCCCAGAGTCGCCCTCTCGTGTAGTGTCTGCTGCGGTGAAGGGGCCGACCCGGAAATATTCAGGGATTCTGCAAGCCAGTCAACTTGAAATTGGCCACGGCAGGAATATTTACACCAGGGAAATCGGCACACACTATCAATCAGACCTCCCCTCCCTTTCCCCCACCCCAAAGCTGGTTGTTAAATACTCACCACCCAAGATAGCTGAGCAGCTCCTGAGTCACATCCAGTGTGCTTTTCTAGATCATCGGCACTTCCCACTGGGTGAGGGATTATGGGGGGCCGTTCTCTCCCCTCCTCATCTATCCCCTCAAGACAGGTACAAACTCCACCCCCAAAGCACATGGAGACCCTGTCTTCCCTAAAGGCCCCTGACCCTGAACCAGAGAGACTGGTTCTGAGATGACCCTGGGGGGAAGGGACAGTGGTGGGGACATCCAGAAGAGAGAAGGGACTACCTGTGGGAATTGTCACCTCCTCCTCCTCTACCCTGTGTCCAGGAGAGCCCTCAGTGAGTTCTCCCATCCCCCTCTCCTGGGTCGCCCTTCCTGCCCATCAGCTACATCTCTGCTGGCCATCAGCACCGTGGATGCCTGTGGCTGCTGTCCTGTCCTCACTCTGCTTCCACGCTGTGACAGAACCTGGGCAAAGTGGGGGCACCCCTTGTCTGCAGAGGAGGGGACCCTAGGGGTTCTGGGGAGAAACTATGACAGCTGCTAAAATACACAAGAGGAAGGCACAGTTAGAATGGATAAAAAATAGATATAAATTGAACTCGGTGTCCTGGGTCGCCAGCCCAGGGCCCTGACCTCAGTTTTACCGTGTGTGTTGGGTTAAGGGCAGGGCCCCTGAAGGTGGTGCCCCATGGCCTCTCCCCACCCACCCCTTGCAGCTACTGCCACCTGGAGACCACCTTCAGCGTCTACGTGTACGGGGCCTTCCCACTGACCTTCAGCCACTCGGAGATCAGCATGATCCTGCTCATAGTGACCTCCCTGCTGTCCGTGTGGCTGGCCTACATGGTCCCCAAGCTACTGCACATGGAGCAGGGCCACAGGTTCAGAGGGTTCTGGGTCGGTCTGTGCAGGAGATGTAGACAGTCCTGTGCGTGTCTCCGGTGAAGGCGCTGAACGGCCCCGGAGAGGCTGAGTGGTCGAAATAAAGTGTATGTGAAACAAGCAGGCGGCATGAGCATTAACTCTGCGTGGCCTTTTCTAGACGCCTACCTCCAGTGCTCTGCCTCTCTTGACATGCTGGTGTCAGAGTTCCTTGGAATGACAGCACCTCCACCAGCCGTCAGCCGTCAGAAGGGGGGTGGCCCATGCACTAATCAACGGGTGGGTGAGCTGGGTGGGTCAGATGGTTGGAACGTTGTCCCATAGACTCAAAGGTCTTGAGGTCGATTCCCGGCCAGGGCACATACCCAGGTTGCGGGTTCGATCTTTGGCTGTGGTGTGTATGATAAGGCAACTGGTTGATGTTTCTTTCTCACATTGATGTTTCTTCCTCTTCTCCCCCAACCCTTCCTCTCACTCTACAAGTGAATAATAAAACAATAAGTGAGTGAAACAGCGGCACACAGCAGAGTGACAGGCAGACCTCAGAAAGGGTGAGACAGCGATTAGAGAGGGTTAAGACCCTGGACAAAGCGGGGAAGACAGGCTGTTTCATATCTGTGCTTATAAACCCTGACACATGTACAAACGCACGGACCCCCAAAGTCCTGGCTCTCCTGTGCCTGCTACTTGGGATGCAGAGCCCACGTGCTGGGCCCAGTGGGAGGACACAGGAGATGTACAGTCCCCTGGAGCTGAGGGCTCCTCGGCTCAGTCTGGACGCCCGGCACCCAGCAGACGCTGGGCTCCTGCTGGGCTCCCCACATAGGGTTCAGGGCCCAGCGGATGACGGAGCAGGTGAGGGGGCGGCCCTCCCTCCACGCCTGCCCCTGGCCCACTGCCCTCCATCACCACCAAGTAGACACTGGACTGAGGTTAAATCTGCTTTAATGAGGCGTGGCTCCCAGGTCCTGCCTGGGTGCCGGGGAGGGGGCGCTGGACAGGCCCCCAGACTGCTTGCTCTTGCCCCCTTGCCTCCCCTTTTTGGTGGCTGAGGCACCGGACTTTTTCTTGCTGGGGGGCTCGGCCTGAAGCACCGGGGCTGCAGTGGTGGTGGCAGGGGGCCCTGGGCAGGGCGGCGGCTCCTCATCAAGCGCCTTGAAGTTGAAAAAGCAGTCCACGTTGGACACCGTGTCCAGGATCTCCGGCACACTGTAGTCGAAGGACAGCAACTCATCCGGCAGGTGCAGCGAACGGATGTCGCTGGAGGAGTCGTCCCCACCACCCCTGCTGTCGGGCAGGGCTGGTCCAGGGGCCTTGCGCGGGGACTTCTCGGGCTCAGCGCCCCCTGGCAGGCAGTCGAACAGCTTCATGGCGTCTTCCAGCAGCACTTTCTCGGGCAGCACAAACGCCCTGGCGGCCTCGGGGGACCTAGTCTCCCCCGCCCCCAATGGGGCTGCCTCTGCTTCGGCCACCTTGGGGTCCCCGGGGCCCGGTGGGTACAGCAGGTCTGGCCCGGCACCATCGCCCTGCAGCTCCTTGGCAGGAAAGGCCCTCAGACGACCCTTGAGGTGGCCGTAGACCCCAGGGGGCAGAGCGGCCTCCGCGGGCAGTGTGACGAGAAGAGAGGGCAGCTGGGTTTCCTTGGAGGGCAGTGGAGGTGGCAGGGGCACCAGGCCTTCCTTGAGCAGCGGTGGGGGTACCTCCACGAAGGCGGGCCCGCCCCCTTCACCTACAAAGCCCAGGACTTCGGGCCCGGGCCCCTCGGGTGGGTAGTACGGCATGAGGTACTGGGGGCCCTCGGGTGCTGGCTGGAAACGGGGGTAAGGCGGAGGCTGCACCGGGGCCTTGAGGAAGTGCTGGGGCTCTAGGAGGTAGGTGCCCGATGAGGCAGGGCCCCCAGCTGGCACCCCACCACCCGCTGCTGCCAGCTTGTACAGGGACGACTGGCCGAAGTCAGTGGTGGCCCACTCGATTCGGTAAATTCGGGGGTCAAAGAAGCAGCCGCAGGGCGCCATCTGGAAACCTGTGGGCCCAGGAGGGGCAGCCCTGAGAGGGGCAGGGCTAGACCCACCCACCTGGGGGGGGGCAGGTGGGACAGTGGGGGGGAAGCACAGCCCAAGCCCTGGGACCTATGGACATAAGCCTGGGTTTGGGGGCCCCACTGGGGGACAAGAGCCACAGGCCTTGTCTTCAGGGTCTCATCTAGACGGGTCACAGACCTTGGTCTGGGGGCCCCTTTGGGAAACAAGGAGACGAAGTTCAGCTTCCGGGAGCTGCTGAGGGGCAGGCAAGATGGCCCTGTCCACTCCAACCCCCGCACCGGGCCTAGTCAAGGGCTGGGAGGAGCCTAATACCTGCTGGAGGGGCCGGAAACACCTCTTTCTCCAGGTCTGGGGGGTGATACAGGTTGGAGGAACCTGCGGACAAAGCCACGTGGGAAGGTGAGGTCCTGGAGCTGGTGGGCAGAGCCCAGGCCCCGCACCGTCAGGTGCCCCTGGCTCCCACCACTGCCTGACTCGTACCCACAGTGGGAAGAGGCTCTGTGCAGGCAGCAGTGTGCGGGCCGCCCGGCCCCTCAGTGCCGTCCAGGCCCTGGGGGTTGAAACCTTCTTGGGGAGCTGCAGTAGTGTAGAAGGGTTTGGGGTGCTGCATGGGGAGGTGGGGGGCCCAGCCCAGGCAGGCCAGAGGGTGGCAGGTGAGAGCACAGGCACCTCACCTGAAGAACAAGCTCAGAAGTCACGGAGAATTCTGTTTGCCTGGTTACTCCTGGCAGCAAGTTCCAGCCTGTGGTTCCTCCCACTGGCCAGGATTCCAGGTATTGGAGGTATGGGGGAGGGTAGACAAGGACAGAAAGGAAACCAAGGCAGCCAGAGACATGTGTCACAAAGTGTGGGACAAACCCTGAGCCTAGTGTGCTGCCCTCTGCCTTTACCAGCAATGCCCATCTGATAGCTCTCCCAGCCCTTCCTCCAGGCAGCCCGCCCTGATCCATACCCCCACAGGCCAAGGAGCCCCTCTCCCTACTCTTAATCCCCAGTGGCTTCTCTGTGGTCAAGCAAGGCCTCTGGGCCCCAGCAGCGACCTGCACGGGGTTGGCCCTGTGGGGGCAGCTGGGAGATTTCAGTGAATGAGGAAGGGACAGGAAGGGAGCTGCTGGGACAGGGATGGGGAAAAGGACGGGCAGGTGTCCAGGAAGGGCTCCCGGGAGCAGGAAGGGGCCAGTTCAGGGTCACAGAAAGGCCGGAGTTTTAAAAGAATAAAGTTTATTGTCTTCTCACATGCTAAGGGGACGCTCCAACGCCCCCTCCCACCCCTGCAGCTACTTGTAGGCATTGGCCTTGTGTTTCGGCACAAAGACGAAATTGGGCGGCACAGGTCCCAGCAGCATCTCACTGTGAGGGCGGGCAGAAGGCAGGGTCAGACCTGGGGCCTGGGCCACCCCCTCCCCAGCATGCCCCCCACCCCCAGCTCCTCGGTTCCCAGCACCTGATGTGGATCCAGTCGGCTGCCTTTGGGCTGGCCATGAGTGTCTCCAGGTAGTCACGGCCCAAGTAGTAGGGGGGCCGCTCATTGATCCTCTGGGGGAGCCGCTCCAGCAGACCAACAGGCACATACCTGCAGGCAGGTGGAGACCAGGTTGGACCGGGCTGGCCTCACCTCACCAACACTCCCACCCTGGCTGCTCCATGTCCACCTGCACAGGAAGGAGAGCCATTCAAGGAGGAAGCGGCGGGTCTTCTCCACGCCCTGTGTGTCCGAGCCCCAGTGCTCCAAGCCGTAGTGCGTGAAGTCCCGCAGGATGTCCAGGCGCTCGGACGATGAAATGTCCCAGTGTCGCTGCTCCTTGATCTCCGTGAACAGCCATGGCTTGAGCAGGGCACCACTGAGGGGTGGGGAGTGGTCGGAGGCGTCCAAACCCGCAGTCCCAGACCCGCCGGCTGTGCTCTCACAACCTTTGAACCCTAAGAGTTCTAACTGGCAACTCCAAGCCCACAGCTGCAGAAATTCCCAGACCTTCCCACCCCTCCCAGCTGTAGCCCTGCCACCTTTCTGCACAGACAGACCCACCTGCTGGGGACAACGGGGACTGGGGAGTGCAGCAGTCGGGCTGCAGCACAGTGACCAGAGTGAGCAAACTCAGACACAGCCTCCCGCCCCACCCCCCGCCCCCAGCGCGGAGACGCAGGCCAGGCCTTAAGGGCAGCTCCAGATAGCTCTCTGCACACGGCCTCCCACCCCTGGCCCAAGTGCCGGGCACACTCACCGTCCAATCATGATTCCAGCCACACCGGTCTGCATGGCGCAGTTCGCGTCCTCATATGATAAGATGTCTCCATTTCCTGAGGAACAGACACAGCAGCCTCAGGGAGCTATACACACGCAGGAAAGCCAGTTCTTGGGAGTTTTTGCCAACCCAGCAGCCCCCATTGAGGCAGGCAGGGGTCTCAGGTAGGGGTGGGCCCAGGTGTCTGTGGCCTTTGATGACAGGGCATGTAAGTTTGAGTGACAGGGAACCCACCAAACAGGGGCATGGGGCTGGCTGCCATCACACACTGCTTGATGTACTGCCAGTCGGCCAGCTTGGTGTAGCGCTGCTCCCGAGAGCGGCCGTGGAGCTAGAGGGGAAGCAGTCACATGGGGAGGGAGGGAAGGTCCAGGGAGGTGGAGCATGAGAGAGAGAGAGAGAGAGAGACACCAGAGACCCAGGCTGAGACAGACAGACAGACAGAGTCAGAGATGGAGGGAGAGCCGAGATGAAGAGGGAGGAGGGAGGAGGGAGGAGAGGGGCCATTAGAAAGGCTTGCCAGGCCCTGGCTCAGTGGATTGAGCTCGGGCGGCGAACCAAATGGTCGCTGGTTCGATTCCCAGTCAGGGCACATGCCTGGGTTGCAGGCCAGGTCCCCAGTAAGGGGTGTGCATGAGAGGCAACCACACATTGCTATTTCTCTCCCTCTCTCCTTCTCTTCCCCCCTCTCTAAAAATAAAATCTTTTAAAAATTTTTAAAAAGATGAAAAGGTTGCTGGAAGGCCCCTGATACTTGCTGTACCCCAAGACCCACCGTGACCAGGGCTGCACCCCAGTCCCGCAACTTGGGCAGTAGCCGGTGAGCCAGGTTCACACGTTCCTGGACGCCCGTGCGGATCTTCACCGTCAGTGGCACGTCCAGCACCTGTGGGGATGGGTGTGGTCGGCAGGGCCCAGGCTCGGGTGGAGAAGAGGTGGGGACATCTTGGGACGTACCTGGTTCATGCCACACACGATCTGCTGGAACTTGGCAGAGCGGTTCATGAGGGCACAGCCCCCACCCTGGGAGAGACAGCAGCTGGAGCAAAGGACGGCAGGACCCACGCTGGGCCTGACATCCCTTGCTGGTCAAATGAGGAAACTGAGGCACAGGGACCCACATAGGTTCCCAGTGACTCAGGCAAGAGCAAAGCCAGATCGCAGGTCCGTGCCCCATCCACACTCCGCCCACTCGGGATCGAGGGCCGAACGGCCGCTACCTTCTTGTACACAAGGTCAATGGGACAGCCAACATTGATGTCCACGAAATCCACCTCGATGGTGCGGTTCAGAAGCTCGGCACACTTGGTCATAGTGTCAGGGAAGGCACCCTCCAGCTGTGGCAGGTGGCAGAGCAGAGGGGGTGAGGAGCCCATCTGGACCCTCCCTGGCTGGCTCCGTGCCAAGGCCATCGGCCCGCCCCATGGCTGCGGTGAGAGGGATCTGGGAGGTGACTGAGCCAGGCCTGGGTTCCAGGACAGCCAACCCTGAACCTCGCTCCAAATCTTGTCATCTGAAAGCTGCCTCCTCTCTCTCCCCCTCCCTCCCTTGGGACAGCACCCACCTGGACACCAAAGATGTCCTCGCAATGGTGGCGTTTGAGCAAGGCCCACTCGGATGTCTGGCCCTGAAGCAGATTGGTGCAGACGGCCATCTCCCCACATGTCACGTCAGCCCCAAAACGCTTACAGATTCGCCGGAAGGGCAGGTTCCCACACTGGGGGCAGTGGGGAACACAGACAATTGAGGGGTGCCCCAGACACCTGCCCCCACACTGAGTGTCCTTGACAGGATGACCCAAGACTGACAGACACTGGGCACTGTCAGGGTGACCATGCTGCCACCACCCACCCCACCCCGCATGGGCCCTACCGTGGTGAGGGGAGCCAGGTACAGTTTGCCACCAATGTCAAGCTAGAAGGAAAGAAAACAGAGAGGCTCTACCCTCCAACCTGGATTTTGAGGCCTCCCTTCTCCCCATAATCTAAAGCATGCTTTTCTCTGCCCCACTGGCCTAGTACCCTTTCACCTCTAAACCTCTGCACGTGTCAACCAATCTATGAGAAATCTTCTTTTCTCCATGTCTTCTCCTGGACAGCTTCTAGTCAACCATCAACCCCCCAGTCCTAATGCCTTCTCTTCCAGGAAGCCTTTCCCACTGCCTCCCTCTGCCTCATCCCTAACTCTCTGTGGCTGGGAGTGTGTGTCCAGTCCTTTTTGCTCCCCATACTGCCAGTGTCCTCAGGAGGAAGCCTGTGACCCATACCTGCCTCTTCTCACAAGGCCGTAGCCTGACTATGTCCTCATCCGTCAGGGACCCGCAGGTCTGGATGGGGCTGCGGGGAGGGGTAACGGTGCTGGGCCCTATGGGGGCCTGCTGGGTGTCACAGTTGTCCTGCCCTGGGGCACTCACTGTCCCTGTGGGGGCTGTGACAGAAGGGGTAGGGCCTAGTAGGTGGCCCTTGCCTAGCTGGCGCAGGGCCTGCTCGGCACGCTCAAAGTGGATCTTCCGCTTTCGCAGTTGCTGCTGCAGAGCCTTATCCAAGCCATTTCGGACGGGAGGGGCCTGGACCACCTCCTCCTGCACCAGGTTCTGGCCCTCGGGCCCCAGATGGGCCCTGGCAAAACGGCAGGTCACACCATAGGGGCACCTGCCATAAGTCTCGAATAGTACACAGCGAGGGCCCAGGTCAGCCGGCTTGGTCTCCAGGTAGCTGTTCACATCATGCAGGAAGCGACATTGATCACCAAAAAAACACTTAGCAGCTGATTCCTGCAGGGGAACAGGGAGGCAGTAAGGGAGGACAGGGAGAGGCTGGGGCAGCCAGGCTTTGAATTAGACCCTTCCCCTCCTGGCTGTGGGTCCTGGGGCAAGTCAGTAACCTCACTGTGCCTCAGTTTCATCATCTGGAAAATGGGAAAAACAGTATTTACATCACAACACCATGAGGACTGAGAGGCTCAGACTAAAAGCTTCTGGGACTTTCTGGTGACACCTAACACTAACCTGCACCAGGGAGGGGCAGAGCCTGTTCTTGTCATAGTGGGTGGGTTTCACGTGAGGGCGGCCTTTGTTCTGGCCCCGGGCTCGCTTCTGAGCCTGAGGATGCTTGCCGGGCTCAGCTGCCTCCTCCGTGGTGCCCTCTCCTGGCTGCCCATCCTCTAGTCGGATCCGCTTGGCCTCAGGCTCAGCCAGGGCACAGTCATGAGAGTTTCCATCCTTGGGTTCCTGGCTGGGTTTCTCCTGCCTTGCTTCCAGGAACTCATGGAACTGCTCCTTGGTAGTGAGGTATCTGTCAGCAGAAAAAGAAGGAAAAGGAAGTCTTGAGGGAATCCCTTCCCTGAGTTCCATTCAATGAACAGCGGGGAAAGAAACTGAGAACACTTGCCTCTGCTTACATGCTTCTGCTGATGGCGACCTCACTACTTAGAACCAGACATTTGCCGGCCTGGGAGAATCTCAGAGCCACAGGAGGGCCTATTTTGTCTTCGAGTTCCCACTGCCTGGAGCGTTAAGCCAAATTATAGGCATCAGGCATCAGGCAGGAACATCCCTGGCCACCTTCGGCTAAAATAAACTGCATGTCGCAGCATGCCTCACAACAAGGACTACAACCACCACATTTCCCAGCACACCTTTCAGCCCTACAAGCCCCAGCCTGTCCCCCGGTTTTCGATTATCGGTTACCGCCTCAGATACGGGACCCAGCCCCTGTAACTGAGCTGCCCAGAAGCGCACATGCGCTATTCCCGACAAACACTGAGACTACGGTCCCCGGCTTGCATTGCGGCCCTCGCCTCAAACCCCTCCCACACTAGCACGCTCAGCGGTGTCCTGGGTATAAGTGACAGTCCCCGACGTGAGTTATCTCAGGTATGCTGCTGAGGACCAGCCCACCCGCCCACCCTGAAGAAGCCTTCGAGCTTCCCGCCCTGAGCTGCCCCGCCTCCCGGCATGCACCGCTCGAGGCGTCCTAAGGGTACGGTGAAGGCTCCGTGAAGTTTTTCCCCTGTCTCAGCGACTCACCGAGATTTAATAGGCGCTACTCCCCGTTCCAGCGCGCCAGCTCCTAAGTCGCCACCGCCACCACTCTCTGCTGGGGCCTCCGCCGCAGCTCCCTCCGCCATCGGCCCCCCTCACCCCCCGCTTCGGAGCGTACGGAGAAGACCTTCCGGGTCGCTAGTGTATCCACGCCGTTCCTGCCGGGGAAGTGCACATGCCCGGGTCGCTCCCAATGACGCCATTGTAGGCGTCATTGTAACGGGGCGGAGCCTGGGTGGGGGTGGGGCTTTGGGTCTCATTTACTACTAATATCTCCGTGGAAGGGAGTTGGACCTGTTCAGAGATCCTCGAGCGGTTCGCACACTGTTCTCCCGAGGTCAGCAGTCGGCTCACAGAAGTGTTTTGTTTTCATGCTGGGCTTTTTAAAAAATTGTTACAGCTAGTGCAAAGGCCCTGAGGTGGGACCAAGCCTTGGCGTGGCATGTGGGAGAAGCAGCAAGCCCTGCGTGGCTGGAACAGACTGAGGGGAGAGAGGGAGGATCTCAGAGGGAAGAAAGGGGTCATCAGGGCCTTGTGTGCTGCTGGGAGGACTTGGGCTGTTACCGAGAGGCAGGCGTGAGGGCTGTCAACCAAGGAGGGCAGAATCTATTCACTATCTGTGACAGTCCCTATTGCACCCCGCCTGAAGCTCCCAGTTTCTGGAAGAGACTTGCTGCAGCAGAGACCTCAGGGCTCTGGACTCAGCCTGTCAGGTTCGAATCCCAGCCCTTCCACTTACCAGCTGGGAACATTTGCTGTTTAATTCCTCTGTGTCTCCATCTCATCAGAAAAATGGGGCTGATAAAAGTATCTCTTTCAGAAGGTAAGAATTTAATAAATAATAATCAATAAATGTTAACGACTACTGTTTTTATTATTTTCTTACTGCGATGTGCCCTGAATTACGTGAACACAGTGCCCGGGGGGAACAACCAATCCCTTCGGTCCCTTTGCATTTCACTGCTAAACTCGACAAAACTTTGTCAGGGAAGGGACGTGACGCTGGGACTGTGCTAACCTAACAGATGGGCCTACTGAGGACCTGGGAGGAAAGGATTTGCTCGAAGCCACAACGGGCTGGCTTTTCAAAGACCTGGAAGAAAATGGAAGTGGGCGGGGGAGCAAGTTTGTCTTCCATCTCTGGCCTCGGCTGCCCTCTGTAGGACAATCGAGGAATAAAACAGTGGAATCAGGAGATCAAAAACTGAAAGAACCTGCGGCAGTCTCTGGGAGACTTCTTGCCCAGCCTCTGCTTCCCACCTCCCGTGAGTGACGGGAGCTCACTTCTCGCGGTGCCCATCCCGCTGCCGTCTGAGGTTCCACCAGTAGTCTCCCCCTTTCCTAACCCAGACACGACCAGTCTGCAGAGACAATTGGACAGGTGTGGGGAAACTGAGGCCCACAGTGGGTGACCTCAGGTATCTGTCCACCCCTCTCTGGGCCGCAGCCTCCAAGAAGAGCTTTCCCAGCGTCCCCTGGCTCTGCTCTGACATGGCCTGCGTGCTCTGTGTAGGGCCAGGAAGGCTTCCTGTAGGAGGGGGAATGTGGACTGGCCATTGATAAACATGAGTATTAATATTAATGGCATAATATTAATTGCTCATTGTTATTTATTGTATTATTTTAACAGTATAATATTCCCAGTAGCTAAACTTATTGAGTAGTCACTGTGTCCCCTTTTCATGCTTTAATTCATTCTCTCTCTGACCTTGTGTGGAAGGAACAGGAATTTATCCCATCTCCACCTGAGTCCACAGGCCACGGTGGTCCCTTGCCCAGGGACTGCCACCCACACTGGCCTGAGCCAGAGACTGGGGCATCAGCCCCTCCCCACACAGTTTCCTGCCCACTTTCCCTCCAGAGTCTCTCTCCAGTCAGTCTGCTCTCCCGTCACCCTGCCTCCCAGGCCTCACTGTCTTCTCTTGCCCCCAACGGCCCAGCTTCCCACAGCTCTAAGACACACATAACCATGGCCCTCCCCTGCTCCCAGGCCTTCCATGGCTCCCTACTGACCCAGCCCTGGACCATGGTCCCCAAGTTCCTACATGACCCAGCCGCTGCTGCCTTCCCCAGCTTCATCCCTTATTACCTCCTCATTCCCTAAAGTCAATCACCAAGTTCATTTCGGACTTCCTGCAAGCCAGTCTTACTTCCCAGTCTTTGCATGTGCTCTTCCCTCTTCCAGGAGGTCCATCCCCTGGTCCCATTCCCTTGCTCATTACGCTCACACTTCAGTTCTCACCTCCCTTTCCTCTGGAAGCCTCTCTGACAGCTGGCGTGCTCGGGGTGGGTCCAGTGCCCCTTACAGGCTCTCCCTGTGCCTGATGTCCCCCATCACTGCTCTGATCATCCCGGAAGCTTCCTCGTCATACGACTGTCTTCCCCACTGGACTGTGAGCCCAGAGAGGATGGGAGCTGGGTGTACCTCAGTCACTCTGTGTCCCTGGCACCCAGCACAGGGCCTGGCACACAGTAGGCACCCAGTGAACACTTCGTTAGTGAATGCATCTTACCATGGCTGGGGAAACTGAGGCAGAGGGAGTAGGACCTGTTCTAGGGTGTCCCACCTTCACTAAGGCTCTGACAGAGGGCTAAGGCCTTTTCAGGTGTCACCCTGGAGAGTGTGGGGACATTAGGAAGGTGTTCTCCCACCCTGAACCAGCCTGGGTAGTTCTCTAAAGCAAAAAGGAGGCAGATGGGGAGCCCGAGGCACCCAGGTGGGGATGAGGCAGGGCCTGGGGAAGGCCTCTGGCACTTGGCTCAGTCACTAGCTCTCCTTCTCTTTTATTCTTCCTCTTTTGCCCCAGTATTTTTGTTCTCTTTCTGCATTTTGTTCTGTGTGCCCCTGTCTCTTTCTTATCTTTCTCTGCATTTCTCTTTCCCTCCATGTTTGTCTCCTCACTCTTCACATTTCTCTTTTTCTCCGTCTCTCTGTCCCTCTCCCCTCTCTTACAACTCCCTGTTGCTCTCTCAGTCCCTCTCACTCCTCTCAGCCAGGCCGGGTGGCGCTGGCAGCAGCGAGGCAGGTACGGCTGGGCTCAGTGCCCACTGCTGCCAGGGCCCCCTCGGATTTGTAGCTGCGCCTTCTTTATCTGGGGCTGCAGCTACCCCTTATCTTCTGGCTGCAGGACACGAGACCAGGATTAGGGCAACTTGGGGCCAAGGATGTGAGACAGCAGGGCAGGCGGCCCGCCGAGAGATGGGTGCCAGGGTGGGTGTGCTGCAGGGCTGCTGAACCCCAGTGACTGGGGCTGCTGCGTGTGCATGGGAGTGTGTGTGTCTGAGAGGTGATGGTGCACACACACTCACAGCTGTGACTGCCGAGTATGAATGGCTTTGGGGAGGTGTCTGTGTATGTCTATGAGCATGTTTATGTGTATACGAGCATGTGTGTCTCTTGTATGTCTATTGCATGTCTCTGTGTGATGGTGGCTGTTTTGTGTGTCTATATGCGATTACATATGCACATTGGTGGCTTTTGCATTTGTGTTTCTGTGTGTGATGGTATATATATTTTTTCAGGCGTCACTGCTGGGTATGAGTGACTTTGGGGTGTGTCTGTGTGTCTATGTCTCTGTGTGTGTGACAGTGTGTTTGCATTTGTGACTTTTGTGGGGGAGGGTCTGTGCCTCTGAGCCTAAGAAACTCCTCACTCTGGCTCCACCCTGCTGGTGACCACACAACTCCGGGCCCGCCCTCGCCCAGCTCCCTCCTGCCACCCTGATGGCTTTCCCACCTTGCTGACCCAGAGTCTCCAGGGATAGGACCCTTGAACCTGTGACCTGTGGCTGTAAATGGCCCCTGTGGGGACAGCCACCATCCCTGCTTTTCCCATCTTCGCCTGGAACCGGCCGGCTCCTTCCTGCCGCCCACAAGCCCCAAAGGCCTCATCCTGGCTGAGACCCGTGGCTCCTCCTCTGGCCCCAGGGGCCCTTGCTCTTACCCCAGCTGGGTGTACTGTCGAGCTCTGTCCCTTGTCAGTGTGCTGAGGCCTCTCTCCTCACTCGCAGCACCATGTAGCTCAGGGCGAGGGTGACTGTCCCATCAAGAACTCGGAAGCCTAATTTTGGGGAGCCTTTTGGGGGGCAACACTACCCACCACCGAAGGCCTGTGCTGAGCACAAGACAAACATGGAAGCCATTTCACAGAGGGGAAACTGAGGCCCAGCTAGCTAGGTCACCAGCACATCGAGGGATGGGGTAATGCTTAGCGTGTGGAGATGGGCGGTGCTCCGGCTGGTGACAGCTAGACAGACAGAGGGCACAGAGGATTCTGGGCCACCCCCATCCCCATAGGGCTGGTCCCTGGGGGTCCTGAAGTGCAGTCCTGGGCCCTCAGGGCCTGGACCAGCTCCTGGAGCTAAGATGGAAACTTTTCCGCCAGCCAAGTCTGAGTCTTGGCCAGAGGCTGCCAGCCTTCCACAACCTTTACATGGGCCTCCATGTAAAGCACAGAACACTCCCCTTGGGAGCAGTGACTGCCCAGGGAAGGCAGGGGGCCAGCCTCAGGGGACAGGGGTGGAGGAGTGGCTGGGGGAAGTGACTGAATGTTCTAGAGTCATCCAGCCCCAGGTCTGAATGTCTGCCTTACTGTGTGACCTTGGGCCAGCATCTTGACCTCTCTGATTCTTGCCTTTCAAAACTGCCAAGTGGGCACAGAGCAGGCTGGGGAGGGGGTGTGTTGCCTGGAGTTACCTGGGGGAGACATCCCAAGAGGCTACGAAGGAACGAAGCTAATTCCTGGACAAATACCACAGGCATGTGAAAGAGACTAGGTTCCAGCTTGCCTTGTGCTGTCCCACCCCTGCCTCAGCCTTGACCCTGGGCCAGCAGGCTCAAACCAGCCACAGGGGCCAGGTGCCCACGGGTGCCCATTGCTCTTCGCCAAGCCTTGGTTTCCGAACATTCGTGCCCTGGGCAGCCACAGTCCAGACCCATGGGCTGCACTTTTAGTTCCGCCCGCTCTGCCTTGCAGGGGCCCCAGTGTGGGACAAGGAAGGTTTAAAAATAAAGCATTGTAAATACTTGTGTTTCCTGAACATAGAACCACCCTCTGAGTTTCCTCGACCTCCTGGGCAGCCAGGCCCAGACAACTCCTTTGAGGGGGGTGAGGGCTGGATGGTGGAGGTGCCCTCGTGCACACCAATTCCTGACTGCAGTGTGAGTCAGCTAGTGTGACGGGGTTTCTGTGTCACCAAAAGAGTGTGTGGGTTGGTGACAGAAAGTGGTGGGGCGCTGGTTTTTGGGACATGACACAGTGGTGTGTGAGGGTGTCACACCTATGTCTCGTGTGACCACGTGGGGCCGGCCCTGAGGAGGGCCAGGTCTCTGGGGTATGAGTGTGATGGGGTTTCCTCACATGTGTGTGTATCAGCGTGTGTATACTTGAGTGTGACACACATGCCTGTGGTGGAAGGTGGGCGTGGATCCTGTTGTCCCCACCTCCTGTCTTCCGTCCTACCCACCCCAGAGGAAGAACCAAGTCTTTCAAGTTGCTGTTGCCAGGGCAACCATTTTATGAGCGTCCACATGGTGGGCACATGTGAGTGTCCTGCTCCCCATGTGCCTGAACAACCCCTCCCCCAAGGCCTCGAACCATAGGGGGAGGGGGACACAGGCAGTGTGGGGTGAGCAGGAGGCAGCCACAGTGCAGCTGGTGACAGCTTAATGTGGCTGGAGGGGTGGGGGTGAGTTCCTGGCAGGGCTTCGTGTGTACAGGGAAGTCGTGCCTCCCAGACTGCTGCGTGTGCACACGCGACAGTGCTTCCACGTTTCCTCTGCATGTGCGGCTGTGGTGTAGGCAATCTGTGCTCAGGATGGCATGTGAGTGTTGTCCTTTTTGTGTGTGAGATCGGTATGTGTGCTAACGCATGTGCCGGCACCAGGCAACGTGGGAGTTGTGTAACAATGTGCCAAGTGAGTGTGCATGTGCACTAGCAGCCCTAAGTTGACCCCTGCAGGTACTCTGAAGGCCAGTGGGCTGATGATAAGTGTACGAATATCATGCAGGACTATGTCTCAATGTGGAGCTGTGTGTGTGCATGCGTTGGAGCAGCACGAACCCTGTGTCTGTGTGCATGAGTGTGCGTGCATGGGAGTGAAGTGAGAATATCTGTATGAGCGTGAGCATCAGCTCACGTCTGCATGGCAGGATGTAGGTGGCTGTGACTGCTGTGGATGTAAGGATGGCACTGATGTGTGAGAACAGGCATGGTGGTGGGTGTGACCCTGCCTGGAACAAAGGTTTGGGGAATATCTGTGTGGCCAACTGTGCCGTGCCCTTCCCTTCTGAGGGTGCAGGTGTCTCTGTAAGTGAGCATGTGTTAACACCTACAATGAAGGACCCTTAAACATTGTTCACCATGCGTCTGGCACGGGTCCTTTCTATAACCCTTTGAGAATCTGGTGGGGAGACTGAGGCATGGAGAGCTGAAGTACCCGCCCAAAGCCACACAGCGCAGACTCCTGTTCTTTCCAACCTGGACTGGGACCTGGCAGCCACGGCTCCACTACTACTCTGACCCCAAGTCACACTGCCACTTACATCCCACTTGCACGTGCACCGCACGGTGCGCACATGGTGTGCGCACACCCAATCGGCTCAAATTCTCAGGAGCTTGTGTACAGCAGGGTGCGGGTCCCTGAGTGGCCTCCATCACTGTGTACATGCAAGTTGTATGGGCCTGATGGGTGTATGTATGTTGCAGGTGGGGAGTGGGGTCTTACGAGAGCCTAATGTTCTTAACCGCAAGATGCTGGAATTAGAGGAATGCTGGTGGCCTGGGCCAGAGTGAGAAGACCCCAAGAAATCAGACAGCGGGAGTGAGAAATCTGGGCACCAGGCCCCAAGAACACTGGCACCGGCCTAGACGGTGCAGGGAGGAGCTTGAGTGCGGGAGCCAGAGGGCGGGGCTGCAGGGAGGTGTTTCTCCAGAACTAGGCCGGGGTGGGGCGGAGCCAACGTGGTGCCAGCCCCGCCCACCCTGCCCCTCCATCCCCTCCCTCTAGTCCTCTGAGGCCGCCAGGGGGCGCTTTGGGAACGCAAAGCCGTCGGGGAGGGGACCCAGTGGGTTTGGGCTCATTGGTTGTTGGGGAGCAGCGCTGGATCTTGGTGCCCAGAAGAGCGCCGTCGGGAGCCATGCGTGGGAAAGAGATCCCCCGCAGGGCTCTGGGGCAAGACTGGAAGGAACCTCCACTTGATGAGGGCTCCGTGGACAGCAGTAGCCAGTCTTAGGGTATCACCGTCTTAGGGAAAAAACACTGGATCTTAGTTCTCTGGAATGGCTTTTTTCAGGAGGGGCTTGTCGTTTTCTGGAAAGACGACCTGGAGCGGGACTAGGGGACCATACAATCCTTACTGGGGTGGGAGGAATACTGTGACTCTTAATTATCCAGAGAGGGATCTGGGGAGGGGGCGTCTTGGAGCCCGGGATTTACTGAAGATGCACCGTCGGGTCACTAGCGTGGGGAATGGGAAACAGCTAATTGAAGGGTGCGCTGATCAGAGGATTCCCTTCAGAGGCTTCCTTGGTGAGGGTACTTCTTAGAGCCTTGCTTTCCGAAAGGGGACCAGGAAGGACCCGGGAGCCTGACTGTAAGGCCAGATCCTCGTATAGTTGGGGGGAGGGAAAACTGAGAGCCACGGGCATTGGCGTCGGGGCACAGTGGCTCTTATCCCAGGAGGGGCTCTTGGGGAGAAGGTGCCTTGGGATCCGCTTTCCAACAGGAGTGCTGCAGAGCTCTCCAGGGCCCGGATAGATCGCCGTCTAGGGTGGCGCTGTGGCCCCAGACCCCTGCCACCTGCGCTCCTCCGGCCCCATCCGATGGGGGCGGGGCGAAAGCTGCTCTTGTCCCGGGAAACCCGAGCCACCGCCCTTGGCCCCGCCCCCGGCCCCGCCTCCGGCCCCCGCGCCGGCCGAGCGGTCCGCGGCGGAGGCGGCAGGAGAGCGCGCCTTGGAGCGGCTCAGAGTGCCCGGGCCCCTTGCTCTGCCGCCTCGGAGCCTCGGAGCCCCGCGCTGCGCCCCGAGGTCTCCCGTGCCGTCCGTGCGCCTCCCGCGCCCTTCAAGCCGCAGACCGTCCAGGGCATCCTCCAGCCCCAGCCCCAGCGGGACCGGGATGGCCGCAGCCCGCGGCTGAGCTAGCCCGGGGGTGCCCCATGGGCCGGCCCGCGCCGCGCCCCCTCCGCGGCCGCCCCCTCAGGCCCGGGCCCCCCCAGGCGCCACGGGCCCAGGCGGCCCGAATGGCGATCGCGGCGGCAGGGGCAGGGGCTGGGGCCGGCGCGGGTGGCAGGCGCGGCCACCACTGACGGGTAGTCCGGCACCCCAGCAGGTAAGCAGGGGCAAGCGAGGGGCCCACAAGGGACCGAGGTGAGGGGAGGTCCGACCCCATGTATGGCAGTATGGGGGGCTCTTAGAGACTCGTAGTAGACCAGTACCTTCCCTGCGGGAGCCCAGAACCCGCATGTGTATGAGGGTGGGGTCAAGGGGCAACAGGTCGGCGCTCGGCGGAGGGGCGGGGTGGGGAGGGCGACCTTTAACGCCTCTCGGCGGAGTCAGGATCTGGCGGGGAGGGAGTCCCTGTCGGACGGGGCGAGCGCACGTCTGCCTTCCCTGGCCCCCATGTGTGCATCTGAGGAGGAGTGGGAGCGGGGGGCAGCCGGAATCCCCTCCCCAGCCTCTAAGAGGGCGAGCCCTCGTGCCGTTTGGTCTATGAGGGGCCGTGGGGAGCATCCAGATCCTGCATACCCTGGGTAGGGGGCTGCCGTCGCGGCCCAGCTGCGCGCAGAAGTAAACATCTGTCAGTGGCGCGTTCCAGCGGCGTTCCCTGCGCGCCGCCGCCGCCGCCGGGGACACGGTGTCCTCCGGTAAGGGCCCGGCTCTCTTGGCTCCTGGAGCCACTTGTTCAGCCACAAGAGGGCGCGAACACATTTTTTTTGGGGGGGGGGGTATCCTTAAGGGCAAAAGCTGGACTTGAAGGAGAAGTGTCTGTGCCCCTCTTTCTTGCTTTTTAAAAGAGGCATTGTCTTGCTCAGGAGAGTCTCAAAATTCTCCCAGAAGGAGTGGTGTGGGGTTAGGATTTATTATCAAACCTAGGGGGCTGCAGACGGTGCGCAGATTTAGTGTGGGAATGGAGGGAAAATGGCCCCTTCCGGGGGTTGCTGTCATCCCTGTTCCCTCCCCAGGAAGTACCAGCATGTATTGTGGTGGCGTTGGCCCTGCTTAGCGGGCCTGTGGTTACCTGCAAGGCTGGGCCACCAACCCGGATCCAGGGAGCGGGGCCAGGGGCCTGGAAAGGGGCACAGGGGGCTGGACCCCGATTTTCCTCACTCCCGCCTGTCTGCCTGCCCTGCCTTCTCCCTGCCCGACATCCTCTCCATTCCCTGACACTCTTTGTCTGCCTTCAAGTGCCCCAGGCTGAGGAAGCCCCAATGGGGCGTGACTCGTCTAGGCGGATGTCAGTGGAGGGAAGACTCTTGGCTTTGCCAGATTCTCCCCACCCTCAGCCCCTTGCCTTGGGGCCCTTTGGACACCCCTCCCACCTCCCTTCATCCCAGGACTCTGAGGGTCGGGATTTTGAAGCCACTCCTGGGCCTACCAGCCTACCCACAGCAAGCTGCGAGGAGCTGGTTCCGGAGGGTGCAGGGAAGAAAACCAAACATCCCCCCTCTGCAGCTGGGTGTGCAGTGTCTGGAATTCCACTATCAGCGCTTGTCCCTCAAGTTTCAGGCCTCGGTTTTCAGGGAGGGAGCAGAGGATATAAAGAGTCTATGGTAGGAGAAGGAACCAAACAGTTTGTAGCCAGACACAAAGACACAATCAAGAGATTGTTTCAACGATGTTTGTTGGACAGCAGTGGTATGGCTGACTCTGGTGTCAGGGCTCCTGAGCCTTGTCCTTCAAGGGCAACAGACTTAGACCAAGGGTGGAGCCCAGAGTGGGGAACAAAGGCTCTATCTTAGGGTAGAGTGGTCCGGGAAGACTTCCTGGAGGAGGAGCTTTGGAGCTGGGGCTGTGAAGGATGAGTAGGAGTTTTTTTTTTTAACCTCACCAGAGGATATGTGTATTGATTTTAGAGAGAGAGGAAGGGAGGGAGGGAAGGAGAGAAAGAGAGAGAGAGAGAAACATCAACGTGAGAGAGAAACATGATCAGTTGCTTTCCACAAACACCCCAACCGGGGATTCAACCTGCAACCTAAGTGTGTGCCCTAACAAGGAATTGAACCCGCAACCTTTGGGTGTACAGGACAACGCTCCAACCAACTGAGCCACCGGGCCAGGGCAGTAAGAGTTTTCTAAGTGGGAAACAAAGCGCATTCCAGGTGGCACAGGCAGAGATCTAGAAGCAGGAAAGAACAGACTGGTTGGCTGCGGTGAATCCAGGGTGCCTGGGTGAGTATGGGAAGGACAGAATTTTCTGAAAGGTTGGCAGAGGGGCTGGGGCACACTACTGGGGATTGGGGCTGGAAACATGGGGGAGAGAGGACTAGGTCTTTATGCGTGTGGTGTCAGTGGGCCCAGCCATCTTTGCTGAGGGGTTGTGATTCCTCTGCAGATGCATCTCTCCTGGTCTCCCAAGTGGGGGTAGAGGGGCCCAGGGTAGGAAGAAATTAGTAGGTGGCCCCTGCTGGCAGCAGGTAGATCTCACTTCTCAGGTGGGGAAAGCAAGGCCCAGAGAGAGGACACCATTTGTGCCTAAACAGCTCAGTGTGTGGGGACCCGAGGCAACATTTGAACTTGGGGAGATGGAAGAAGTGACTCAGGTCCCCTGGTTCCCAGGAAACTAGTGTTAGGGTTTGAGCTGAGCCTGGGGCCTGTGCCTCAGTTTCCCTTCCCGTCCATTGACCAGCTTTGTGTGATGTCTTGGCCACTCTCAGAGGGCCCACAACCCTCGTGCCACCTGCCGGGCCCCACAGCAGCTGCTCAGCTGTGCGCCGTGCCAGGCCTCATTAGGCTGATCCTGTTATCCTTCCCCAGGCAGCGCCCTCCTGCCTGTTCCATATGCCTGTGGGGCCAGCCCCAGACCAGCCTGGTGTGGTCAAGGTGAGAATTTTATGGGCCAGTTCAGAAGGCTGGGTTAGAAATGGTGGGTCCTCGGGTCTGAAAAACTCTGGCCCCGAGCCACACACGCATGCACGCACACACGCACACGCACACGCAGCCCAGCCTCCCTGAGAACATGCAGCAGGTGCAGGAAGAGGGCTCCAGGCCCTGGGGCAGAGCGGAGGACCGGCCCTGCAGGCAGGTCACAGGCCCCGTGCCCTCTCCCACCGCATCTCCCTGCACTTCCCTGCCTCTCTTGCTCCAGTCACCCTGGTCACCTTGAACAGTCACAGTCCTGCCTCACAGTAGTCCTCCCTGCCCAGAATGCTCTCCTCAGATCTTCACTTCACGCAAATGCCGCCTCCTCTGAGAAGTACTCCTTGACCCACTCAGCCTCAAAGCTGTTCCTTCCTAGTCACTACTGCTTTACCTTGTTTTATTTTTTTATTTTTGTTTCCCTGTCAACATCTAAATTACCATATTTATTTATTATTTATAATCCATTGCCCTGATTGGACAGTGAGTTGGCAAGGGTGGGTCCAGGTCGGCCTTGCCCATCCGGAGTTCCCTGCCTGGCCCAGCACACAGTAGGGGCGCAGTCAGTGTTTGCTGAGTTAATGTGTTAGGGGCAGAGCCCAGCCTGGCAGACTGGGCTTTCTGCCATCTCTGGCCCTTTATTCACTTGCTGGTTCTGCTCTGCTGTGTGTCTTTGAGGAAACACTTCCCTGAAGCTCAGTCCATTTTTCCCCCAAACAGCAGAGCCTATCATACCCTCACCGCGTCTCCTCTCCCGTCCTCACTGCCCTGTTATCCAGAGCCCAGAGGGTGCGGAGCCATTGACAGAACAAGTCTGGTGTCAGACCCAGGTTCAACCTCAGCTCAACCACTTATTTGAACAAGTCACTCTACCTCGCCAAGCCTCAGTTACTCTTTGTGGAAAATGGGGCTAGTAATAATAACATTTTCCAGGGATGGTGGGGAGAATTAAACACAGAAAGCCCTTAGCACAGTGCTTGGCACTAAATAAATGGAATAGCCAACACTGCCAGGTGTTCATGTTATCGTTGTTAGAGAGGCCATGGTTAAGAATGTGGAGGAATGGGAATTGGGGCCGGGGTTTTAAGGGATGAGTAGGAGTTTGCCCAACGATTTGAATTCAAATCCCAGGCTGGTCACTTATACTCTGACGTGAGGAAGTCACTTCACTTCTTTGGGCCTCAGTTTTTCCATCTACAAAACGGGAATAAAATAGTCCATACCTTGCTGTGAGTCAGTACATGTAAATTGCTTATACCAGTAGTCTTGTTTGCTAGGGTTACTGTTAGCTGTGATTAATTTACTACTATTATCAAAAAGCAACCAGTACAGTCCCCCAGAAGCCACTCTCTCTCTGTCTGTCCACCCCTCAGCTGCACTTTGGCCATGACAAACCCAGGGCCCCTTAACAGGAGCTCGGGCTGACATTCGATCCTGAGAAGCAGGGGCCAGCGATGGTGCTAGCAGTTGAGCAGCAGACACCGGGGGAAGAAGAGAGGCTATGCTGCCACCTCTGGCCAGGCCTGGAAGGGTCTGGTCTGCCAGGGGTGTCTGTGACTGTGCCCCCTATGAGGCCGTCCCACAGCTGGCCCCAGCCCCTGCACACACAGCATCAGAACCAGCTGTGCTAGCCAGATGTTCCTGGTTTACCCCCAGATGTGTGTTGCCAGCTCAAGACTGCCCTGGCCTCCCCGTCCCCACCATGGGTGGGGCTGGGCCCTGGGGCTCTCCAAGGGAGGGGACACATTTTTGTGGGCTGCAGAGTTTGTTTCTTGTTTTGCAGAACCATTGAGTCTTGCCTTGAGAGAGGCCCAAGTCCCACCCGTCATGGGACCTCAGTTTCCCCATCAGTGGACCCCCAGGGGCCATCTCGGGGAGAGCAGACCCAGCTACCAGCCATGGAGTTGTCAGTGCTGACGGGGGAAACAGAGGTACAGGCCTACAAGCACGTGTGTCCGAGGGCTGGGCCCAGCCATCGCCATCGGCCTGGTCTGCAGAACTTCACTGAATTAAATGGGCCTCCAAATGAGGGAGGGCTACTGGGCAGTCTGTTGTACAGATGGGAAAACTGAGACTCCGAGAGGAAGAGGAGCATGTTACCCAGCCAGGAAGGGGCAGGGCAGGGACCCAGACTCAGCTGTCAGGAGCCCATGTGCCGCAGTCAGTGCTCACAGACACACACCTTCCTTGGGTGTGCAGGCCACCCCCACGTCTGCCCGTGTGGCTCCACAGCCCGGCTCGCTCTGCTGCAGGCTGTGATGGCAGCCCTATTAGCCACCCCACTGAGCCTTCCCAGGTCCTTCGGGCATTCCCAGAGTGCTGGGTGGCCCCCCTGGGACACTTTTTGAAGATGGGGAAATTGAGTTATGGGAGGACCAGGGATTGTCCAGGAGTGAGGGGGAAAGGAAGGAGAGGAGAGCTCGTGGAGGGAGGTACCAAAAGCGTGGAGACTGGGGAGCTGCAGCCAACTCATGCCTCTGTGAACAGAATTATTGCAATAGCCCAGCCCAGGCTGCCCCTCCAGAAACTCCTACCCCAGAAAAGACAGGCATGGACGTAGACACTATGCTGCAGGGCCGGGCAAGAGGGAGGGACCTGTGGCAAGGGTGCCAAGATGGGGAGCAGGGAAGTCTTCCTGGAGAAGGGGCTTTAGGACGTAGGGCTTTGAAGGATGCGTAGGAGTTTGCCCAGTGACGACAAGCCCCAATTCCAGGCCTCCCCAGACTGAAGGGGTAAGTAGATTGAGGCAGAGGTCACCTCTCATCCTTCCTGTCCCTGGAAACAAGCATGAAGCTGGTACCTCCCTGAGGCCAGGAGCTCTGCAGTACAGAGGCTCTTCACCCTGGGAACAAGTATGCCTGGTGGATGTCCCTGGGAAGCTTTGTGGACAGGTGGAGCCCCAGGGTGTTGCCTGGACACCAGGATAATGAGCATCATTTCCTGGCACCACCAAGGAAGCTGCCAGAAACACCCACACACCTTCACCCTGAATGCCTGCTCCTTGGATGATTGGAAGGACCTACCTGGTTGACTGACTTTGGGCTACTTACCACTGCTCCTCTCTGAGTCTCAGATTCCCCTCCCACCCCACCCCAGCCCTGGGGGTACTGTGGCCTTCGGCTAGAGATGGAGGTCTAGCCTCAACCCCTCTTGCAATTCAGATTGGCCTGCTCCCTAAGTAGGAAGGTTGCTCCCATCCCCCTACAGTGAGGACTCTCCAGGGTCTGGACGTTGCCTTAGGGCTTGGAAGGGAACTGGCCGGTCCCCATCAGGGCAGTGTGGGTGGCACCTGAGATGCCAGCAGGTGTGAAACCTGGCTGGGTTCCAGGGGCTGGGGCAGGGCAATTCTCTCCTGGGTCATTCTGCCTCCTCCACTCCCACAGGCCTCACCCTCAGCCCACCGTGAGGGTGTGCACGTACATGTGCCCCCGCATGCATGAGCACGTAGCCAGAATGCAGACTCACACTACTGTGTGAGCATGGTACTGTTTAAGTGTGATCATGTTTGAGTATAATGTAAAGTGCCCAAGTGTGGAAGTGCATGAGTGTGAAACACAGTAGCTTGTGCACATGGTGGTGTGCGAGTGCTGTAATGCATGAGTCTAAAAATACCCGAGTGTGTGAGTGTGAAAGAGTTTGTATGGTAATGCTCCCATGTGTTTCTGATCATGTTTGAGTATGTGAGTGTGAAAACATGTGTGTGATTGTGCGCACGTGTGCGTGATGTTAGATGATTAATGCTGAAAATATCCAAGTATGTGATAATGTTTGAGTAGGAGTGTGAAAACACCCTAGTGTGTATGATTGTGTTTGTGTGTGTGAGAACTCCCAAATATGTATGTGATAGTGCTGAGGTGTGTGAATGTGAGGGCTTCAATGTATGTAAAAATGTCCAAGTGCATGATTGTATGAAAACATGAGTGTGTGAATGGGATATTGTTTGACAGTGTAAAAACACCCAACACCCATGTGTGAGTGGGACACAGTGTGTGCAAGAATGACAATGCTGGGTGTGAATAAGTGTGAGCCCCAATGCACCTCCCCGAGTCTGGAGGCCTCCATTGCACAGGCACACCTGGGCCCTCGCCGTGCCCTCCGCCACACCCACGGCGCCCTCTCAGGGTCAGGCCTGTGCCAGAGACAAACCAGTTGGGTGACCCCCTTACAGAAAGGCCCATTGTTAATAGATGCTTATCAGCCGGCATGCTGGGCCCCCTCCACGGTCAGCCCCCCTGCCTTCCTGTGCCCCATCAGAGCTCTGGTGGGGTCTACTGCTTCAAGGCCACTGGGGGAGGGGCCGGGAGGAAGTCCTCTGGCCAGGCCATCTCTTGGCTCTTGTCTCACCCCCTCTCTCAGTCCCCTCTTAAGGCCTTAGGAGAGTCAGGACCACAGCCTGGTGCCGTGCAGGGGCCTGGCTCCAGCAGGGAAGCTGAAGCACGCGGCTCCAAGGTTTGGGTGTGAGAACGAGCGGGGTGTTGGGACCAAGAGAAAGCCAGATTCACCCACGGTCTTGAGCCTGGGTGGGTTTCCCTGCCATCTCCCCCTACTAGGGATTGCAGCCACCAGAGTTCCAATCTCAGCTCTGTGACCTTGGGTAAGTCATGTTACTATTCTAGGCCTCAGTTTCCCCATCCGTGAAATGGGATGAAGATTTTTGTGTGGTTGAAATGACTTAATATGCACTGTTTATAGAACAAGATCTGTCATATAGTAGGTGCTCATTAAGAATAAAGGGGATTTCCCTGACTGGTGTGACTCAGTTGGTTGGGCATCTTTCCTCAAAGCAAAAGGTCACTACTTTGATTCCCAAATAAATAAATAAAGGGGGTGCCCTGGCTGGGCAGGTCACTTGGTTAGTGTTGTCCCAATACACCACGGTTGCGGGTTCCATCCTTGGTCAGGGCACATACAAAAATTGACCAATGAATGCATAAAGAAGTGGAACAACAAATCAATGTTGCTCTCTCTCAAATCAATAAATAAAAAAATTTTAAAAAGGAGGGGTGGCTTTGGGCACCTGACAAATGGCTGACCTCTGCTTGCTGCACAACCTTGAGAATGAAATATTCTCCCAACAGCCCACGGGGCCCCACACAGCCTGCCCTGTCACCTCCCCTCCCTCACTCAGCTCCAGTCACAGGGGCCGCCTCCCTGTTCCTTCAATAAGCTGGGCCTGGTCCTGCCCCCAGGCCTTTGCAAGTGCTGTGCCCTCAGATATCCAGTCTGGCCAGGGTTTGTTTACATGCCCCCATGTCTGGGAGCTCACTCTCTACAACCGCCACCAACAGCAATGAGAATTGTGCTACCACATAGTGGCAAGTCCTTGGAGTGACTCCATAGCCTCTGCTTCAAAGCACAGCCCAGCCCAGTCCAGCCCATGTGATGTGCCTGGTGTTAAAGAGCCCGTGTTGGAATCTCAGGTCCTTTTCTAGCCAAATGCCCTTGAACAAGCCCCTTCCTGTTCGTTTTGTGCCTCAGTTTCCTCAGCTGTAAAATGGAGGTAATAGTGCGTCTCTCCTGGGCTGAGCACGGGTCTTGCACAGAGCAGGCACTTCATGAAAACCCACTGGTACTGTCTGCTGGGTGTAGGTCCTGTGCAAGTGCATCCGTGGGATGAGAGCCAGCGCTGCAAAACCACGCACCACTGGGCCTATGCGAATCACACACAAATGAAATGCAAATATCTGCCCTGCACCCGGGCAAGCAGAGGTGCGCCCATGGGGGCGCCCGGCACCCCACGGCCGAGCCCAGTTGCTGACCCGAGTCCAGCCCGGCTTTCAGCTCTCTGTGTAAATGTTTACACCGGGCTTGTCGCCAGGCCCTGCGCAGGCCGGCACCAGGCAGCTGGGTGGGGGAATGTAAACGAGGGCCAGGGGCCGCCAGGCAGCAGGGAGCTGCTCTGACACGGTTGTGGGGGTGCACGAGGGCTATTAAACACTGTGTGCACTAAGCATGACGTTCCCAGGCAGTCACAGCACCCAGTAATGGGTGCTCTAGAAGGGGATGCTCAGGGCCTGGGGTGGGAGGCAGTCAGGGAAGGCTTCCTGGGGGAGGCGCTGGTCCAAGAGGAACCCAAAGGGGAATAGAAGAGGGGAGGGGGAGAATAGTGTTCTGAGTGGAAGGACCAGCTTGTGCAATAGCTTGGAAGTGGGTCCAGAGCAGCTGTGGTTCATTGCAGCCCATTCCTGGGAATCAGTTTACCTGTCTAGAGAGTAAACCCGGGCTCTGAAAGGGGCAAGAAGTCACTTCCAAGGACATTTTAGTTAAGGAACGAAGACTCAATCCCAAGGTTTCTGCCTCCCAGACTATTCAAAGCACCGGGCCTCCTGGCCACCCTTACCCCACAGTGCCCCCTACTGGGAATGCCTTCACTTTTCACTCTTTCCCTAAATGCACTGGGCTCCTGGCTGGATTGGCCAAGCTTGATTCAGCCTCAGTGCCTTTGCACTGGCTGTTTCCCCTGCCTGAGATACCACTCTCTTCTACCTGGCCAGTTGCTACCTTTGTTTAAGTCTCAACTTTCCTCAGCTCTCAGGAAAGCACTCTGGGGCCCCCAGGTGGGGCAGTTCCCCTGATTCCTCTGGCACAGCGCCTGCCCCCTCCTTAGCAGTGCTATTCATAACCATGTTCGGTGGTTCCTTGCTAAATCATGTCTGTTATTATTGATCGTTAAGCAGCAGTGGTTCCAAATCAGAGGCCCCACTGTGTTCCCAGTGCCTCACCCAGTACCCTGTGCCTGTTTGTTGCTTGGCGGACTGAGGCTGTTGGGCTGACCATCCCGTGCCCACAGGCCAAGGATGCAGCGCTGGAAGGCAGCGGCCTTGGCCTCGGTGCTCTGCAGCTCTGTGCTCTCCATCTGGATGTGTCGGGATGGCCTGCTCCTCAACCAACGCCTTGGACCCGCATTAGCCCCGCTGCGCCGGCCACCTCGCACCCTGGATGCCCGGATCGCCCGCCTGGCCCAGTGTAAGCCCCTCTCCTGGTCTTGGGTCAGATACCCCCAACACAGGAACGGCCATACTGGTGGAATTTCAGGCAGTGGAACCAGCCACAGAGGCTTTTTAAAGATGGGGTGGAGGGAGGGTGCAAATCCCCCAAAGGCCTGGAAGGGGGGATGGCTCCTGGAAACTGGGGTCTCTTGGCTCAACTGTCACAAGGAATTAGGCTCTGTCCCTCGGGGGTTGGGGGCCAGATGGAGATTAGACCTAGGAACTCAGCCGGGTGGCCCCCCACAGCACAGTGTGGGGAGGGGGAACTGGACTGGAGGCTCCAGTGACCTGCATGTGTTGAAGGGGGAAGACAGAGAGAGACCTAGAAACAGACAGAGAAGCACAGAGACAGACAGACGCGGGTGGGAGAGACCGATGTGGAAAGGGCAGGGAGGTAGACAAGTGAAACACCCACCTGGGGAATGTGGCCACTTGATCCAACTCCCCACGTGCCTCTGGCACCTGTCCTGTAAAAGTTCTGCGTGGGCCCCGACCTTGTGTGTGCACGCACATGTCCGCACGGTGTGCCCACGTGGGCGGCTGGGATGTAGGTGCAGGCCTGGCGCATACAAGGCGCCTGCGGGTGGCAACCGCACACACACCCACCCCGCCAGACCACACAAACCTTCTTTCTTGTCTTCACAATGCACGGGGGTGGCCTTCAGCATGGACTTCGCTGCCACCTCTACCCCTTGCCCTTGTAGACCACATAGTCCTTTCCAGGACACTGGGTCCCAGAGACCCGGATGAGGGCCCCCAAAGCTAGCGCTCCAGGTTCTGGGGGCAAAGCACCAATGATGGAATCTACTGGGAAGTGTCTCAGCCCATGGGTGGTGGCTGCCAGCCCTGTGTCCTATCCCTGTGCCCAGCTCTGCTGTGGGGAGGGAGTGGCTGCTGATTCCCCCAAGGCCTAATGTTCTAGTCCCTGGGACTAATTCGCTGATGGTGGAATTTCAGGCTTGGGGTGGGGATGGGGTGGGGGAGGGAGCAGATCTCATCTCTTTGTGTTCCAGACCCTGTGCACATGGCCAGGCCTGCTGGAGGGATGCAGGGACAGATATACTAAAAGATTATTCACTGTTTATCTGAAATTCAAATTTAACTGGGCATCTGTATTTCATCTGGCAACCTCCCAAATAGTCCTCCAGATGCACACCTTGGGTTGTGCACACTGAATGGGCAACTGTAGGCACCAGAAGTGAGCCAGGCTCAAACCTAAATCCAGAGCAGACAGTGCTGGTCATCCCGGTCCTCCTTCTGGGCTGCAAAAACTCAGAAAAGGCTGTTCCGTCGCCCCCCACTTTCCACCCTCCCAGCCACAAACACGGCAGGGACTCGGCAAGCTCTGCAAGCAGACTGAGCAGAGGGAGACAGGCACAGCCGGGCTGTCACATACCTGAAGCTACACAAGGACAGTGGCAGAGCTAGGCTCAGAACGGGGGCTTGTCTGTTTTTTGAGATCCCCTGTGGAAACAGACACCCCCAGAGCGACAGTCCCTCCCCCTCAGGCTCCCCTTTTACTTGTTTTGACAACCAGGTGTGCTAGCCTTGAGGGCAGGTGGGGGCTTCAGCCCTCAGGATTTCTTCTCCCAACCAGAAGCGGGACTGCAACCTGTCAGGGGCTGGGAGCCTCCCAACAGCCATTCCAACGCCTGCGCTTCTCTCCTGGGGCTGTGGAATCTAACAGTTTCTCGAATAAAGTTATTTCCTCAAACATAGTTCTGTTATAACAATGAGATGCCTTAGGAACTTAACTCTTCTTTATGTCAATTAGCCTTTGGTAAAACTGGTTTCATTCTTTGTTTCGCCGCAGCTCCAATAACCTACCGATGATGTACAGTAAGGACTTACTGTACTGGGGCAGGGCCAGTCTCTTGGGAAATAAATTTAGGCTACAGGACCCTGAGATTCTGTGAGCCTGGGCACCTCCTGGCAGCCATGGGAGAAGAGGGCTGAACTTGGGCCAAACTTGGGCAACTTGATAGAGGCAGGAAGAATGCTATCTGAGTTTGTGTCTCTCCCTGCCACCTGCTGGTAGTAGAGCCTTGGGTATGTGTGCTCTTTTGGGTGCCCAGTTTTCTTATCTGACACGAGAGTAGCCCTGACAACAGCTGCTGCCACTCCATGTCCTGGGGTCCACACACAGGCCTCAGTGCCTGCTGCTCCTCTGTGTTCTGAGAAGCCCAAACACCTCAATTTGGGTTTCCGGATGGGGGAACTGAGTCCCACTGCACAGTGGAGCAGTAGGGACAGGATGGGTTGTGAGCAGCCCAGGGGCTCAGAAAAGAGGTGGGGACTTTGGGTGGGGGACCCCAGAGAGTGAAGCAGAGACCCATACAGTTCAACTAAAGGGTGAGGGGTTGGGATGGGGGAAGCAGCACTGCAGCACTGGTCAGACAGGGTGCAGCCCAGCATAAGGATGGGATCCACAGACAGTTTTGAGGGTGGGGTGCCTAGAGTAGTTGAGACACCCAGATCAGCGCAGCTCAGGTGGGGCAGGCTGGAAAATGGTCCAGGGCACCCAAGAAGGATTAGCCAGGCTCTGAGCAGCTCAGCATAGGAGCAACGTCCAGAAAGGTGTTGGTAGCCTTGGGGAACCAAGCGTGGGGGTCTGGATATGCATCCCTCCAACACTGCCCAGGGAGATGCGCTGGCGCCCCAGCATCCCCTCAAGGGTCATTTTTTGCAGAACATCGAGGGGAGGAGGCTCCCTCCCGCCACCCGCTGACCCCCAACACCTTCTCTCCCTCCCCTCGCAGACCGTGCACTGTTGCAGGGAGCCCCGGATGCGGTGGACCTGCGCAAGCTGACGCCGTGGGCAGGGCGGCCCCCGAGTCCCCATCGCCGAGCGGGACCCCGGCGGCGGCGCGCGCGTGCGCGGTCGGGGACGCGGCCGTGTGGGCTGCGCGAGCTCGAGGTGCGCGTGAGCGAGTTGGGCCTGGGCTACGCGTCGGACGAGACGGTGCTCTTCCGCTACTGCGCAGGCGCGTGCGAAGCGGCCGCGCGCGTCTACGACCTGGGCCTGCGGCGCCTCCGCCAGCGGCGGCGCGTGCGGCGGGAGAGGGTTCGCGCGCAGCCCTGCTGCCGCCCGACGGCCTACGAGGACGAAGTGTCCTTCCTGGACGCGCACAGCCGCTATCACACGGTGCACGAGCTGTCGGCGCGCGAGTGCGCCTGCGTGTGACCCTACCTCACCGGTCCCGGCCGGACGGCACCCACGGCCGCGCCCGGCAAACCCCGCGACAGACGGCCCAGGCGCTGAAGATGCCGTCGAGGCCTCGGGACTCTCGCGATACCTGTACAGAGATAAAGTGTGGAAAACGGAGCCGGGTCTTGATTGTGCGCGCCAGGGCGTCCGCCCCTCGGAGGGGGAGGGCGCGTGGGAGAGCAGCGCCATCGCCACTGGGAGGAAGGGGGCGGGGGCGGGTATCACCGGCAGGGTGGCGGGGAGATCCCCTTTGCTTGGTGGGGAAAGGAAATATTCAAAGCAGGTTCTCAAGGTAGAAGCAGGGAAATAGGGTGAATCGGGGCCCTGTCGTCCGGGATCGTCCCTCGCACCTCCCTGCAGGTCTCTGTTCCTCCCCAGCGTGTCCCATCGCAGCAAGATGTGTTTCTGGGGGAATCACTGTGTCGATGAGACGGGTCCAGCCGGGCCCAGCCTCCCCAGGGTGTCCCCCCAACACTCCCACACAGTCTGCGCTTCCGGGGAGGGAAGGGGGAGAATGGAGGCTGGTAAGGAGGCGGAGGCGCTCTGCAGAAGAGACGGAGGTCGGGGTGGACCCGAGCGTCCCTCACCTGACGAGAATCCTCATGCCGGGTCAGTCCCCACGACAGCGACCTCGAAGACGCTAATTTCCCTTACTAGCTAAAAATATTTGTGCGTTGTCCATCTCCCTGTGGGGATACGTCTGGGGAGGACGCCAGCCCCGTCCAGCCCCAAACCGGCGCCTGCTGGGGCAGAGCCGGCCCCAAGGGATCTAGGTCCTGGCCCATAAAAACCCTGCCCGAAGCTGGAGGGGGGATTTATGGCCAGCCCCTGCAGAGGACGGAAAAAGCGCTGGGAGGGGCTTATATTTGCCCGCGGTGTCACCTTGATGCTTGACAGGCCCACGAAGGGCGCAGCGTGTTGAGTTCCCAGAGCACAGGGAGGGATCAGGGATTCTCCGGGCCTGAAAAGGGGCGGGTGAGGGGGTGGGCGCTTCGAGCTGAGCTCACAGCGGTCATCTAAAAGACTAGAGGGCTTGGACCCTTTCTCTCCAGCCCCTCAGACTGGGGGCTCCCAAAGGAACACCCCCTTCTTTACTCTTTCCCTAGACTGGCCCCATTCCCTCTTTCCCACACATCTGAGTTCAAGACCACCTTCTAACCACCACATCCTTTCCAGACCCAAGCCGGGTCTAGAAGCAGGAGGGCTCCAATCAGAAGCTGTCCCGAAGCTGTCCCCAAGGAGGATCACATAGCCAGGCAGAAATGCTCCCCAGCTCCTTGCTCCCCAGGGCCCAAGTTGTAGCTAGAGAAACTCGAGGCAGCTAACAAGCAGGACTTACATGGAACTCCAAGAGCATGGCTTGGCAGCCAGGCCCCAGCCAGTGGGTGGTCTGCTTGGAAGACAGTTTCAGGATGGAGGCTGGCTGGGGCCCCTGCCTGCCCCCGCAGTATTCTGTCTCTGAGGTTTGGGGCGGTGGATTCCTCCACTGTTTGGGTTGACTCATCCCGGTGTGGTAAAGAGGCTGGAGTCCCCAGACAGCGCAGAAGCTGAGCCTCAGTTTCCGCATCCTAGAGGGCCCTGACCCTTAACGAGGGCCATTGCTGAGCTTGGGACATACAGTGGAAAAATTGGCCTTGGAGCCTGCATTTGTACTCCCTGAAGCTTGGCTTCTACTGCGTGTGTGTGTGTGTGTGTGTGTGTGTGTGTGTGTGTGTACCCCCCCGCCCCCGGCCTCCTGGGACCTTAACCTCCCTGTCTTCCACCCAGATCCAGCATCCCAACCACAGAGCTCTGGCTTAGCCCGCTAAATAATTGAAATGTAAACAGGGCGCCCCACAGACCCCTGGGGTGGGGGTTCTCGGCTCAGGTCTCTCTCTCTCTCTCTCTCACACACACACACACACACACACACACACACGGCACAGAGACTGCCACCCACATGGACTTAACAGAATCACACCCAGGCCCACAGCCCACATGCTTACACATTCAGTTGTTATTCACATTGGGAACTGCACACTCACAGAGGGGCACCCTAAGAGTCACCACTCATTCATAAAAAAAGGACACAGGTTGCGAATTCCGTCACACACAGCCTCGCACACCCTCACTGATGGTCATGCTCCTAGCCCTGCATGATCATAGCACACACAGCGTCACACTCCCTCCCCCTTGACTTCCTTCGAGGGGTGGTCCCAGCCCTTGTGCCAGCCTTGCCTCATGTTGACCCCAAGACAGCCTGGCCCCCACTTTCCAGTCCCTCTGGGACTTACTTTCCCCACCCTGCCTGATGGGCTTGATCTTAACAGGTTTTCTACCTCTTGACATTTGTGGCCAGACTATTCTGGGCTTGGGGGGCCATGAAGCCTTTGGAGCGGCATTCCTGACCCCCTACCCACTCGATACTATCAGTCCACTCTAAGTCTGGACATTGCCGAGTGTCCCCTGGAGGGCAGAGTTGCCCTGGAGTGAGAACCTCTGTTCTAGAATAAAGTTGGACACATCCGTTTTCGTTGGAGCATTTCATCTGGAAGACGGTGCCAACATTGCCTTCTTGCCTGCCCCGCAGGCAGTTATAGCAGCAGTAATAACCTCAAGCAGATCCAGCAGGGCCGTCACTAGTGGGAGGGATCTGAGGCCAGGCAGCACATGCCTTGGTGGGTGAGGTCCCCAGCACCCTGTATCCCCAGCCGGTGAGACCCCCTCCCCCGGCACCCTGGCCCCAGCAAGTGAGGTCCCTGGCAGGTGAGGTTCCTGAAAGCAGAAGTGGCTGGCAGGTGAGGAGGCCCCAGGCTGGCTGGCCCGTGTGAACCAGGAGGTCATGATGGTCACTGTGTGTGGCTGGACTCCTGGTGCGGCCTCTAGCAAGCCTTGCAAAACATCAGGTCCCAGTGGAAAGATGGAGGCTGCAGTGTCTCCTGCCAGCGGAAGTAACTCAGGTAGTGGGTATGGTCTTTGCCCACCACTAGCAGATACCTGGCCAGCTCCTTGGGGCTCTGGAAGCCGTCAGGTGGATGAAGGTATTGGGGGCAGGAATTGTTGCTGCTCCTGCTGGGGCTCAACACCATGGTTGTGGTCCAGGCCTGCAGGGCATTCATTCTTCCACGGCTTCTCCGTGATGCAGTTGGGGTGTAAGTTGTCAAAAGCCATGTAAAACTTGTACTGGAACAGCCACTCGGTCATGACCGCTGGGGCAGTGGCTCGTGGAACCCCTGTACACGTCCACTCTGAGGTGAACCTAAAGCATCTAGTCAGATCCTTCCTCCAGTTGGACACTATCCGGCCACCAGCTCACTCTTGGCTGAGTGGTTGACCGGTGCGCCAGCCAGCTGACCGGGCCACGGCTCAAACCAGCCCTACCGCGTGATGCCCGAGTCTGTGTGATAGAATACAGTGAGAGTGAAGTGCCCATAAAGGACCTTCAGTGGTGGACCGTGGCCGGGCAGGTCCAGGTTGAACCAGACCCAGTGCTGGCTGGGCGGCTGGGGGAAGGTTGAAGCTGTGGTTGGTAGCTGACTTCTCAGGGATGCACGGGGGCTGCACCCACCTGAAGGTACATGCAGCGGTTGGCGGCCACAGCTGGCAGTCCGCTGGGCTGGGCCACAGCTCTGGGCAGTGGGATGGAGGTACAGGATGTTGAGTGTCCACGTCCACAGCAGAAGTAGCAGGGGCAGGCGGGCGGGGGCCCAAGGTGGCCTGGCAGGGTCCCTTCAGAGGACATTGACCCAGAGCACCCTTTGGGAGCTGTGATGAAGGAGCTCATTGTCAACCTAGGGGACCACATGGGCTTGTGGGACACATGCAGGTAGGAGAAGAAGCACACGACCAAAAGCAGCTGCAACACCACCCCAAGGAGATAATGACACCAGGGACATTGTGTCTTGCCCAGCCAAGTGGATCGGTGGGTCAGAGCAGCTGGGAGGAGGGAAAGTGGAGACAGCATTATTAATAACAAAAATAATAACCCACGCCCACGGGGCACATATGGGTGACCAAAGTTGATACCTGTGAGTCCTGAGACAGGCACTGGTGTGTTACCCATTTTACAGATGAAAAAACTGAGGCCAAGTGACTCAGAGTGAGGAAATGGCAGAGCTGGAATTCCAACAAAAACAGTGGCCCAAGGCTGCTTTCTCCTAAGCTCTAGGCAACATGACCTCTCCACCTGGGGAGGGGGCCCCAGGGAAAGCGGGGTGTGTCCTGACAGCTGCCAGGTGCCAACTTGACCCTTTCTCAGCTTCCTTAGACTCTTCCCCAGTCTGGGGCAGAAGACAGAGTTAGTTACAAGAGTCTTCCAGGGCCTTGGAATTGAGGCTTAAATCTGGGGCTCTGTCTGGGAGGGGTACAGTAGGATCAGGTTTTGAAGGTTATGTAAGAGCTCACCAGGTCGAGTAGGAGTCAGAGGGATGAATGTTCCTGGCAGAACAAACAGCCAGTGCAAAAGCCCGGAGGTGAAAGGGAGCCTGGCCTGTTTGCAGGGACAGCAAAAAAAGTGCCCAGGGACGCCAGTGTGAACTGGATTTCATGTTTACTTGGTGTTTCACGTTCAATAAGTACTCAAAAAGAGATTCTTTGGGTCTGTGCTGGCTGATTTCCCAAAATTCCCAGTCTTTCCTGTCCCCACCAGTGGTCACAAAGTCCGCCAGACCCCGGGTTCCAACCACTGGAGCAGAAATCTACCTCCTTGGGTGTGCAGCCCTAGAGCTGCCCATTTCACAGATGAGAAAACTGAGGCCCAGAGAGGCCTGTCTCTTGCCTAAACACACACAGCTACAGCCATTATGATCCAGAACCTCAACTCTCCCTTCTCAACGTAACCCCAAAGTTCTCTCCCATTTTGCAGGCGGAGCCCAAATCTGCAGCCCAGCGTGGTCCAGTAGAACTTTCTGCGATCCAGGAACTGTTCTACACCTGCACCGTCCAGCTCACTGGCCACTAGCCTGGCACGGCTCCTGAGCTCTTCACATGTGGCTGTTGTGTCTGAGGAATGGGAGTTGTTACCGCTCGTTCACGGTTAAAAATGGACACTCTCTTCTGTAAATCAAAAACAACTTGAAAATAAAAAGTAAACCCAAACCAAAAACAAGGTCTGGCTCTCAATTTAGTGAATGGAAAAC